GATGAATTATGAGACTAAGTTAATCTATGTGTTTGTATGATTAAGTGGAAGGCAATGATGTGTGTATCATTAACCTCTCCTCCAATGTTGCTGAACTTAAGGAAATGCTGAAGCAACTGCTTCAATATTTCAGTTTTGGCAATAACCAACCGTTGACTGAACAAACCAATTTTGCTGAACTGAAGCAAATGATACAGCATGTCGTGGAATGTATATTTTTTAGACCACAATTGGCAGGCGTGGAGAAAAAGGATGTGGACCCTTCTGTTGGAGTGGAGGTGCATGGTGATGGCGTGGTGAAAGCAACTGACAAAGTTAACCCAATGGAGTGTAATATTTCAGATGTACAAGGGGTGGATCACCAAGAACAGAATGTCAAGGGAATCTTGGCAAGTGAGAAAAGTGATTTGCATGATGGACATAAGCTTAACATAGAAAATGTTGGGGACAACCAGAAAAAGGGGGGCCTTGACTTGGAGGAAAGATACGAAACTAAAGATAAATACACTCTTGAGCTTGAGTTAGTGGTCGTGAAGAAAGTGGCGTGCGATGTGCATACTTCTCCTACTAAGATTAGCCAACCATTGGGAGCAAGTGGAATCGTTAGAGGAAGAGGAAAGGGAATAGGAAGAGAAAAATGAAAAGGAAGAGGAAGAGGAAGCAGAAGAGGAGTTCAATCCACTGAGGTTAGGGATATGCATTTGTGCAACGATAGCAAAATAAGTACTCGACTTGCAAAAGAAAAACTTCCAAGTCACCACATCACTTCACCTTTTGTTGTTGATGGTGCGAATAAGGCAAACAAGGTACAAATACTGCCTTCTGCCTCACAAGTTCTGAATAACCAATTCATGCCCACATCAATAATGGGTTCATTAATTTTACATTGATTTGTGTTGTATTGTAATAGTTGTCAAACAATTGCATGTTTGCACTTATGACTGCTGTAATATTTTTTACACATTTCTAACAAACTCCTCACCAAAATTCACAAGTTGGAAAAACTGTGAGGTTCAGAGGTTATACATCGCTTCACGTTATTTTTTATCAGTAAAAACCTTGTTATGTAAGCTTCAAATCTTTTTTATCAAATGTGTTTTATTACTTGACTATTTATTTTAGTAGGAGTCGTTGAGGATGTTGGAGAGCGAAGGGTTCTTATCGCCAGAGGAAGAAAAACTTGTTGACTATGTATTTGACGATAGCAAAAATGAAATGTATAGTTGCATTTACTACTGGCAAATTTTTAATGACACTCCATTGTCAAATAAATTTCATTCTAAGGATAATTATTCCTTGTAGGGACGTTGTTTCAATGAATCTTCGTGGAAGGGCATGTGAAGTTGGTACCCGACGTGACATGCGCACGCTAAAACCAGGGGCTGGCTATCCGACACTATAAGTGTTGGCAGCTCACATATGAATATGTGTTTTTCATTTTAAGAACTTGCAAACCTTATTTATCAACTTGCCTCATGTCTTACATACAATGTTCCAGCCAATCAACTTGGTGGTGGTGCAATTGACTAATCGACAAAGGGATTTACACAATGACGAGAGGCATACTAATTGGTTCTTTCCAGTATATCTATCAGCAAGTAAGTGTTTTAGCTAGACTGTGTTTTCTGTATGACATATTTCATCAAATGTTTGGCTCTATGACCTTTCTGCATTACACATGCAGACTTTCATTCTAAATAAAAATATGCAACCTCTGTACCATGAAAATATCGTCACATTGTATTTTGGACATGACAGACACACTAGTGCGATAGATGCATGTCAGAGGGTAATATCAATGTCGATTCCATTATATTCAATGTAAATATGAAAGCCAGTATATGTTCACATGCCCTCTAAACAATGTCTGCACTTGTGTTTATGTGTTGCAGAGTACATTGGTTGTGCCTTAAAATTGATATGGTTGACATTGTAGCCTACCTATTTGACTCGTTCCCATCCACCAGACTGAACAAAAGGAAGCTAAATGTGGAAAAAATTTTGGTATGTCCTTTTGGTGGATTTCTCAACACTACAACAAACTTTAACATGCTTTACATAAACCAACATTCACTTTCTGCAACAGGTTCAAACTATGCACAAGTTACTACAACTACAATTTCGAAATGAATATGTTACAGATGTGCGTAGCTTTGACATCCACATGTTAGATGAAAGGCCATTACAACAACTGGATGAATAATCCAAAATCCTCCATCACATTTATGTGTCTCCTGAATGAGTCATTTAACGAACCTACTTACATTGTTGACAAATTTAATGTTAAATTATTTTTGTAGCACTTTTGACTTTGAGATGTTCATCATTAAGTACATGCAGCGACTTGATTTACCCGCCGGTCCACACAAGGTACATTCTACTGCTTCATTTCTAATTGTGAATCAAATCCTTAATTGTATTTGCTACAATTGGAATTGATTTGTGATATGATCTTTCTGTACAAAGTTCCATTTCGTTGTGCATCATAAGTTGTTAGTTGACTTCCTTATGGACGCTAATAATTCAAAGATCGTAGAGTATCTTCAATGCCTTCATATCAACAATACCACAAAATAAGGCAGTGATGGGAATGGGCTGGTAGTACGACACTAATTTGGGTGGCAATAAGACTTCACCAATTTTTTATTCATTGATTTCAAGACGGATGTCAAATATGGCTTCACAGTATTTTTTTATTAAAGGATGAAAAGATGGACAAATTGTTTTGTTGAACTCATATGTAAAGATTAATCAATCAGCTGTTGGCTATCATTTCAATGTAGCTGTTGTGTTATTACTATTTTGTTTACGCATGTTTTTTGTACAAAAAAAATTCAGATGATTGCGACTGAAACAAATATAATTTACGACTGTTTTTTTTAACCTATATTTTGAGGAATGTACTTGTCAAGCAAATTCTGAGCATAACTTCGATGTGGCAACTGTAATGTTAGTATTAACATATCTATGTTTAGGTGGAATGATGTACACTATCTTCGTGATGTAACCAAACCAAACTAAGCCTTAAGTCCCATCAAATGGGGTCGGCTACATGAATCCTTCTTCTCCACGTGGCCCTATCAAAGGCCATTTTGTTAGTCAAATTAAGTAGATCCATATCTCTAAACAATAACCAATGTTAATCTAGGCCTACCTCGTCCCCTAACACTTCCATCTACCGTTACAGCATCGCATCTCTTCACTACTACCTCTGTTGGTCTCCGTTGAATATGACCAAACCATCTCAATCGATTCTCTCTCAACTTATCTTCTATCGGTGCTACTCCTACCCATTCTCGAATACACTCATTCCTAATTTTGTCTTGCCTAGTCTTGCCACACATCCACCTTAGCATTCTCATCTCAACCACACTCATCTTATCTATATGTTGTTTCTTGGTTGCCCAACATTCCATCCTATACAACATCGTTGGTTTAATAGTCGTTCTATAAAACTTACCTTTAACTTTAGTGGGTATTCATTTATCGCACAGTACCCCAGACGAACTTCTCCACTTACACCATCCCGTCTTAATCCTATGGGCCATATCCACATTAATCTCCCCTGCTGTTGTGATAATCGACTCTAAATAACAAAAATATTCACTCTTAGGCAGTTCTTGGTTTTCAATCTTCACTTCTCCTCTAACTTCATTGTTACTGTTACTAAATTTACACTCTATGTACTCGGTCTTAGTTCTGCTTATCCGGAATCCTTTAGATTCAAGAGCTTTTCTCTAAATCTCCAACTTTGTATTAACTCCTTCTCTAGTCTTATTCACTAGCACTATATCGCCTGCAAAAAGCATACACCATGGCACGTCATCCTGGATATTTCTCGTCAACTCATCCATAACTAAAGCAAAAAGATAAGGACTTAAGGTATATCCTTGGTGTAACCCAACAGTGATAGAAAATTCATTTGTCTCTCCAGCAGGCGATCTAATAGTGGTCACCACCCTTTCATACATGTCCCTAATCACATCAATGTAACCTTATGTCACCATTTTCTTCGTTAACACTCACCATATTATATCCCGGGGCACTCTATCATATGCTTTCTCAAGGTCAATAAACACCATATGAATGTCCCTTTTCTTCTCTCTATACTTTTCTATTACTCTTCTCAAAAGATAGATCGCTTCCATTGTTGACGTGCCTGGCATAAACCCAAATTGATTCTCTAACACCTCTGTTATATCTCGCAATCGGTGTTCTATCACCCTCTCCCACACTTTCATTATATGACACATTAGCTTGATTCCTCTATAGTTGTTGCAATTCTGGACATCTCCTTTATTCTTATAGATTGGCACTAAAATACTCTTCCTCCACTCATCTGGCATGTTCTTAGTCAAACACTTCCAAGCTTCAATAGGGATATCAGCTGGTCTTAAAAGCCTTATTTGATTTCATCTTCTTAAGTGCAAACTCCACTTCAAAGTTTCTAATCCTGCGATAGAACCTATAGTCTTGGTTTATCATATTACTGGTTATTTCTTCCTCTATTGTCGCACCTCCATGTTCCTCATTTAATAGTTTCTCAAAATAGTTCTTCCATATTTCCTTAATCTCGTCATCCCTCACCAATACCTTAGAATCCTCACTCTTGATGCACTTAACTTGATTAAAATCTCTTGTTTTCCTCTTCCGTATCTTAGCATGTTTGTATACCCTCTTATCTCCCTCCTTACTATCTAATCTAGTGTATAGGTCATCATAGGTGGTGTTTGGTGAAGCTTTTTTTGCCCAACTTTTGGCTTTTAGCTTAAAAAAAGCTAATTTAAGCTGTTTGGTTGCCTGGTATCTGCTTCAGCTTCAACTTCTACAGATTATCAGCAAGGGGAAAAAAGCTGAAATTCAAAAGCTGGTTGAACCAACTTCAGATTCTCGCTGGTAAATCGCGGAAGGCAATTTGACTTAAATGTCCTATGTGTTTTGAAAGATTTACCCTTATACCACCTATATATGTTCTTTTTTTTGCCCTAATCTTGTCTTTGGCAAGAGATCAGCAGCAACACAGCAACGCAGCAGCAAGTTGCGATCTGGTTCAGTTTCGGAGGCGTGAAGCTCTGGTTTGTTTCCGGCGTTGGTTTGCTTCCGGCGACGTGCGGCTCTGATTCGTTTCCGGCTCTGGTTCGTTTCCTTCATCTTTGATTTTTCTTTTTCTTGCTCGACATGCATGTTTATATATATATATATATATGTGTGTGTGTGTGTGTGTGTGTATTGTTTTGGTTATGTTTGATTTTAAATTTGTTCAGCATGTATTTCAAATTTGTTCAAATTAGGGAAAATAAGAATAGTTAGGGTTTAGGAAAATTTTGGGAAAATTTATTTTGATGTTAAAAATTTGTGTAGGAGTTGGTTTATTAATGCTCTGTTTGTATGAATAAAAAAAAAAAAAAAATGCTTTGTTTGTGTAGGAGTTAAAAATTTTACTGTGATATTTCTATTAAAAAAATCATAATAATAAAAATTTGGGGAAATTTATTCATTCTTTGATGTTAAAAGTTTGTTCAAGTTATTTATTTATTTTTTTTCCTGCTAGTGATGCAGGAAAAAATCTGTGCTTAAGGGAAATGGAGAAAATTTTAGCTTATATTTGGAGAAATTAGTATGGCATAATTTTTTTCAGAATGGGATCTCTAACTGTGCTTCAATCTAAGGATTCAGGGATTTCTAAATGAAATAGAAAAAAGAAATTTATTTTAAAAAAAAGAAGGATTTATTTCACTCACTTATGCATACAAGATTAAAAATCACAGAGTACAAAACATATAGATAGAAGCCACGCAAAGCAAATCAAATTAATCAAAATATGAAAAGTGAGCTCTAAACTAATCACAGAATTATTGATATATAACAAACAAATTACTAAGAGAAGATTGTCATATGAGTGAGCTCTTGTGAATAAGAGCACAAAGTTATCTATGACTGACAGTAGGCATGTCTTTTGTATGTTCATATATATTTGGAGCTTTTGTTCTACACTTAATCTGTATGTTCGTGTGACTTGAGTGGATGTGTTTTGGTGAAGATCATTTATTTTGTGGCTAATTCATTAATTTTTTGGGGCTATTTGTTTAATTGTCCTTGTCTTAGATCTGTCTGTTTGTTTTAAATTTTTTAGAGCTGTTTCATACTCAATATACTGCATGCGGTGGTTGTAAGAGCATCCCTATTAAATCCCTTATAATAGCAATGATTCTTCAAAAATCAGAATTTAACGCCTAACTCAATATACTGCATGATATTTATAAATTGTGAGATATCTATTAGTCAATTACTATATAAAAAATCAAAGAAACCTTTCTATTTTTCAGACGGTTAGAAAACCGTAAACTTCCATATTCACACAAAACATAATTTTTAAAAATTCAGAATTTAATGCCTAACTAGAACATCTCTCATGTTTAATACAACACATATCATAAATATGAATAATAATCATGTGTGTCAAACATGCATTGGTTCTTTTAATAAGAATGTCAAATTAGGTTTTGTGTCTAAAGTTAGATTTACTAGAGCATCATGAATTAGATATGAGCACTCAATACTACATTTGACATACAACATCAATATAATCATTGAAAAATAAATGATGATCATGAGTAGAGAAGGTAGTTCGAACTATATTCTTTTCTCATATCTTAGATATAAAAGATTACTAACAGAAAAGAAATACTAAATATATAGCATATTAAATTATGAACAAGAGAACTAATTTTGATTTTATATAGCATATTAAATATACAGAATAGGTAATATCATCCTGATTTTACATAAGGAATAATTTTGACTATTTCAACTGGCCCTTTAAAGTAAATCAAATGTCTGAAAGAGTTGTCTTTGGTGAATCATGATTTTAATAGAAAATGAGTTCCCAACCACCATCACAATCTCCAACAACTACAAAGAGTAAAGGAAAAGCTTCCCAAAACTCCCAACCCTCACAAGGTTTAAAGGCACATTGGGACACAAAATCTACTGAAATTTTTGTCAAACTTTGTGTGGAGCAAGTGAAAGCAGGTCACAGACCTGGTACGCACTTAGATAGGGTTGGTTGGGAAGCAGTTATTAACAAGTTCAAAATTGCAACTGGAAAGTCATATGTTCGCATTCAGCTTAAAAATCGTTGGGATACCTTAAAATTGAGTGGGGTCTTTGGAAAAATCAATTGAGAGGTGAGACAGGGCTGGGGTTAGATCCCTTGACTGGAGCTATCATGGCATCTGATGATTGGTGGAATTTGAAGCTACAGGTCAGTGAATTATGTTAATTTTTTTTTTCTTCGTCACTTATACTTGAGCTTTATAATTTATATATTTGTAATATTTGTCCATATTTTGTTATAGAGGTATCCTGATGCGGCCAAATTTCGTGAGAAGCCATTGACATTGGCCGATGACATGGACATACTATTCTCTGATGTTTCTGCAACTGGTGAGTGGGCATACACTCCAAGCTCTGGAGTGTTTCTTGACACTGAGGGATCTCACACCCCACTTGGTGATGATACTGATACGGAAATTCATCCATCTGAATTGAGCAACCAATGTCGTCGCCAAAAAGAGGGTCCATCAAAGAAACAAAAGGGGAACAAAAAACAATCGGTTGCCGGTGAGTTGAGTAAGACACTTAACCGCATTGTCGATGCTGTGGAGGCATCATCTTCAACTGGTACACAGAATGCTTCTATGCAAAATCCGCACACAATAACTGAGTGTTTGGCTAAGATTAGCACAATCTCTGGCGTTAGTGAAGACGATGACCTTTTAATTTGGGCTGCAAGGTTGTTCATGAAACCCTCACTTCGTGAGTCTTTCATGGCTTTGCCTAATGATGTGTTGCGTTTGAAGTTTATTAATCTCGAAATTGCTTTGGAAAAGGCTCGCATTCCTGGTTTTCGTGATTAGTTCATTGTGCGAATGTGTGTATGTTTTTTTTTTATTATTTTAAAAAACATTATTAGGACTATCTTTAATTAATTTGGCTTGATGTTATATTTATGTTTGCCTCAGTGAATTATATTTATGTCGGCCTCCTCAAACTGCACATGAAAAATTCAACAAAACACATTCATCACTCAGGAGTGTAATAGAAAGATCATTTGGTGTTTGGAAAGCAAGATGGCCTTTTATGAAAGATATTCCATGCAATTATAATTTTGTTTGTCAACGACAACTTGTTTGTGCTACTATGGCGATCCACAACTTCATTAGACGAACTAAGTTAAGGGATATTCCATTTGACTCTTATGATAAACATATTGAGTATGTCCCTGTTGACGAGGAAGCAGTGGTAGGGGAAGACCGACATGGGCATCCAGTTCGTAATGATGATTATGAGATGGATTCAAGAAGATATGAGATTTTAATGTCAATTTCTCAAGGAAATAATTATTAAAATATAATAAATTTATTTTTGTGTAATATTTATTTCATTGTATTATTATTTAAAAATGATAGGGTTATGTTAATTTGGTGTTGGAATGATCTCTTAATATGTAATTAATAGCAAAAAGTCTAGAAAAATTCAATTTACAACTAACAAGGGTAAAAAAGACATTTACACAGCAAAAAGCTACTTCACAGCTTATTTAACAAACACTACTCAGCAACTTAAATCTATAATCCAACAGCTACACCAAACAGATTAACAGCTTCTGATTAAAGTCATAATCTATAATCTGTTAAGCTATAATCTATAATCTGTTTTAACAGCTACACCAAACGGCCCCAAGGAGACTCCCAGCCTAAGGCAAAAGAGCAAAGGAAGGAAAAACTCAGACCCTGCAGCATCTACATCGGCGACTTATTCAGACTATTTGTCGATGGAAGTTCGAACCGACAAGGAGCGGGGGTAGGAGTACTGCTGATATCCCCAGATGGAGAAATAATAGAACAGTCCATCCGTTTGGGGTTCAAGGCCTCAAAAAATGAAGCGGAATACAAAGCATTAATTGTAGGACTAAAACTGGCAGCAGCAGTAGAAGCAGATGAGGTAATAGTTTTTTGTGATTCACAACTTATTGTTAACCAGTCGATAGGAGAATTTGCAGCCAGAGACGAAAGGATGTCGGCATATGCAAAAGAGGTCATCAGATTGGCAGCCCTATTTCAGAACTGCCGACTACTCCAAGTTAGCCGAGATGACAACACCCACGCCGATGTGTTGGCTAACCTGGCAAGTTCAATACAGACTGGACAAACGAGGACAATTATGATCGACTATATGTCGAGCCCGAGCGTAGAACCACGGAGCACAGAACAGGAAGCAATGTGTGTAGACATGGGGCCAAGCTGGATGGATGCAATTGTTGCATTCCTGAAGGAAGGAAAGCTGCCAGAAGATCGTAAGGAGGCACACAAAGTCAGATTGAAATCGGCAAGATTCTGTCTGACAGCAGATGGACACCTCTACAGAAGGTCCTTCACTGGACCCCTTTTAAGGCGCGTACACCCTTTGCAGGTTGAAGATTTCCTATATGAAATTCATGAAGGAATTTGTGGAAGCCATGCTGGAGGCAGATCATTAGCCCAGAGGGCCATTACCCAGGGGTATTGGTGGCCCTACATGCAAAAGGATGCCGAAGCTTATGTAAAGAAGTGTGAACAATGTCAAAAGTTTGCACCTTTGATACATCAACCAGCA